AACTTGCCAAGCGATCAGCAAGGGTCTTGCCAGCGGATTTGTGTACTGATCATGCGCGTTACGTCAAAAGCCATAGATCAACGGTCTTGAGAAAAAACAAAAACATAGCAGTCGAAGGCGGGACTGTTTCTCACTATTATATTTTGGTAAGGGAGTTGTCAGAAATTAGCAGGGGGAGGGGGGGTGGAAACAGAGGGAAGGTCACAACTTTTTGAGACTGCAGAAAAGGGAGGGGTCATGAATAATGGGCCGTTAAAAGGGGGAGGGTCATGCAAATATGTGTCCGTGATCATGTAGAGGTTCACCCACAGAAGAAAAAAGAAGTTCTTTATTTTGTAAAAACAACCTGGGAGAAATAGGAGAGTCGAATGATCAGCTGTCAGAATCAGAGTCGGACTCTTAATGCTGTCATCTAAAATGTATGTATTACAAAGAATAGATTAGAAATTTATTTTGAGCTTTCATAAAACTGACTCACGCTAGTGTATTGCAAGAACTAGATTTTATCATTTATACAAGAGGGGGAGGGTCATGATATTTTAGGCCAAGGTCAAGGGGAGGGTGAGCAAATTTCACTCATATTGCAGGGATGGGTCACCTCATTTCCGAACCCAAATTTAAAATTCCCACCCCCCCTTCCCCCCTGCTAATTTCTGACAAGTCCCTAATTCGCAAATTTATTGATTTTATGTCGCCTTTCAGACATAGTGTGTGGTTTTCTTTTTCTGTTAAACAATCTCCCTTTGCAGAGTTTGGAATATGCAACATATAGCTAGCTCCGTATAGCTGCTAAGAAAAGGCCGCTGAAGAGTTGAGCTATCGAGCAGTGTTTTGCTGCAAACCTTAGGAAAGTTACAGTCGCTTCAAGGTACAGAGCTTTCAGTAGTAGTTGTGATTTGTTTTAGGATCGTTTTGAAGTTTAACTTTGGATTCAAGGTGTTGACCGAAATAAACGAAGTGAAATCGAAATAAACGAAGTGAAATGTTATGAAGCGTTAATTTTTATTCAGTTAAGATATGTAGAGCAGTAAGCTCATATTTATAAAGCTTTCTTGAATATACTTGCTTCCAGACCTCGTCTTCCCCCCCCCCCCCCCACTGGTTCCGAAGAATATTTAGTTATAAATTTGGGCGATTTTCTTGCTTCGAGGAGTTCACCTTCGAAAACAGTAAACACCGCGCCGGGAAGCCGGTTTAAGCTTTACGCTTAAAGACTCAGGATTTTTAGAGAGACACTTTAATACTTGTCTTCGTGAATGAAAATTTACTGTCTCTGTAAATGTTTCACCGAATTATATTTCTTTTTTTGATTGTTAGTAGTCTCTCTTGCAATTTTAATTGCTTGTCAGTGCTGTTTCCTTCATCATTCATGAACATCGCTTGCAGGAGTACTAAAAAATGTCGCGGGTATCAAACACTTTATAAGATTACACATCGTTATAACTGAAACCATTAAATAACAAAAATAAAAAAAAAAATTCGCTATTATGTTGAAGCGTAACTCTATTAAAGTTCATTCAAACACTCGACCACACTGACAGCTCGCACTATAGAAATGACAACCAGCTGGCCGTATGGGTGATTTTGGAAATTTTTGAACGGTTTCGCTTAAAGCCCACGATTGATCGTCCTGAATATTGACTGCGTGCAATTTGTCTTGAAAAATTGTGAAACACCGCATTCTGTCCGAGGTCTGGATAATAAATAGTACTGTTTCACCTCAAATGTGATGTATAAAAATTATAAAAGGTTGGTTTAAACACCCCCCGATTTGTTGGCAAGAATTTGTAAAGTAAACCTGTCGAACGCCAAAAAATTCGGCGTGATTCGTTTTCCAAGAAATTACTTTCGAGGCCTAATCTACTGTAATCTTGAATGTGATCGAAGATGTTTGCTACTTTTTTGGTGTACATATAAGGTTATCAATTCGATGTAAGATGTTTCACTCTAAAATAACTTAGCCTTTCCCTCAAAAGTCACATGAATGTGCCCTTAAGTTAACTGATTTGTGGATTATAAGTTTATTGTTTGATTTAAATTATAAATTTATTAATTGGAGCTTCGCCTTTAGTCCCGGCTAAATCTATATGTTATTGAAATATGTTCAAGAAAAGATGAAAAGAGGAACTCGGACGTCAACAAGTACCGATGATTCAGCATCTTGCCCATAAACTGACAGAAATATTTTACTCGTTAGGTTCTTCAATGTAAAGCTTAAACCTAAGATTTTACTCTTCAGAGTTCTGTTTCTCAAAACAGCGCTAACGCAAAAGTATGCCAGTATACATGATGATGCATGAATAAATATTTATTTTTCGGCCACACGATGTTCTATGCAAATGTTAAGGTGGCTTCCTAGAGTAAATTGGCCGTGCGCAGCCTGAGCACTAGTATGGCGCGAGCTTTAAAACCCGCGCGACGTCCACGCAAAAATAAAACATTTATGGCTTCTCAGTTTCGAAATATTGCCCCAAAAAACTTATTAACTTTCAGTTGAAGCTCATTGAGCAAAAAGTTTGGTTAGTTTATGAGAGGAGACAATGTTACACCGGTTACAAGTCACTATCGATTTCCATAAGAGTAAAGTGTATGTATAAACAAAGTAGAAATTTTCCAAAGACATCAATTCTTTCGCTTCAAAAGTAGACAAACGTAAAATAGTCGAAGTAAATGCTGAATGGAAACTTTACAAAGAATACAAAGAAGTAAGTATGCTATCCCTAAAGGAAGCAATGTTGCTGTTTCTAGCCTTTGGTTTACGGTCAGTGGAAAGATGTGAAAGATCGAGCCAAGTCGTGAACAAACATTGAAGAATGCCACCGGCGGAGCTCCTCGGTCACTTTATTCCTCTTACATTTGATTTGATTAAGAAATTCTAGAAGCGGCTTTAACGCAAGATTACAGGCAGTGTAAATTTTTTTTGCCGACTCTATCACATTGTTTAAAAAAATATCAGAAGAAAGGTGTCCTACTTAACTTGCATCCTGATCGAAGGAACCTTTGCATCGACGAACCAACATCCTTGTACTTTTTCTTGTTTCAAGAGTCCTTCAACGCTCAAGATCAGTACTGGAAAATGTTTGCACAACGAAAAATAATTTTTAAGTCACAGATTGACCCTTGACGAAAGCAGTAGTAAGTTGTCCGTCGAGAATTACGGTCTTGTACTTGCAGCTGAGGACGTGATGTACGTGTTTAGATCGGCACCATGTTTTACAGCAGACTTTTAAAGAAAAACTTCGCCGTCGAAATTATCCCTAAAGAAGAACAAGGTTGAAAAAGTATCCGGAAGTGGGCTGGCATTTGAAGATCTGCAAACAGTCGGTACAGCAGATTAGGAAATGAAGGGCTTATTGCGATCCTTGCGCGACCACCGTCTCCATCTCCTCCGATGATCGCCATCCGCACGAGTGACCACCTCGGCTCAAATTTTGGGTACAATGGTCAAGTATTTCGAGGAAAACATCCAATGTTAGGTGTAAAGTTGAATCCACTATCTCTCCTTTTTCAACTGGCAATTAAAGATATCACCGTAATAATGTAATAAACAGCTTTAACAATGGCTTTCGTTCTTGTCGAAGAAACCACACGTTTTCATGTATGTGTATTATGCGCATGCGGGCGTGATGGCTCGCGCGCGTATTTTGCTCATACTAACCCGAACCATGCGTGTTTTTCTGATTTTTTTGACGTCAGGGCAGTTAATTAATCGTGAATTTCTCGCGTTTCCTTCTGGAAATTTCTTTAAAAATCGCCTCATTTCTTAACAGTTGCAGTACCTTTATACCGCCCTTTTTTTGTTAAAACTGTAAGAGCTAAACTCCTCTATTAAGAAAAATTACAAATTTCAAAATATTGGCAAAACGTCTTAACGACCCCATGTGTTTTACACTTTAAAATGCTAAGCAATATCGTTAATATAATGTGGCAAAGTTTAAAGACATTTCACTGAGGGTAATAAGAAATATTAAGAAAAAATGATCAAAAATGACAATATTACTGCCTGGCTTAGGCTGCGGTGTTGTCATGGTAACGGCCTTAATTTGACAAAGAAGCCTTCTTATATGGGTAACCTTAGCGGTGAATTTTGTGAACAAAATCGCAAAGACAAAGTAACTAGATTTCCTTCTGTAACGTATGCTAGATAGCTAGGATCATTAGGAAATACTCTGGGGAGCCACCTTACATCATTTTATTGGTTATAATAGATGACACAGCACCTACTAAAAATACAAAGACAAGAAAAATCTTGTCTAAAAATTAGAACCTATTGTAGGGGGTTTACGAGAAACTCGCTCGCTGAGCGTAGAGGTACCAGGTATCAAAGTTTACATCTTGTTGTTCTTTAATCTTTACAGGAGCTCTTACGTTTTGTTTACAGCATCACTTAACGAATTCTGCTAGACAACTAACTGTAACTAATCTCAACTACTCACCCCCTTGTGCTAAACACTTGCAACTTAAATGAGTAAAACGTAGGTACGTTTAGGCTTGCTGACCATGAGAGTTACAAACGCTTTTCCGAGTGACTTAAACGAATTTCCTGTTGATAACCAAAGTGGAATAAACAAACCCATAAGAATGAAAGCGTGACAGCTAAACCCACGAGACTCTACCTTAAACCAAAACAGGAACTCTGATGTAGGTAACAATCAAGGTCAGCGACGGTTCCAAAACGTGCCCCCGTCAAGGACTGACAATCAAATTTAATAAATGACATTCATGTTGAAAAACTACTTTAAAAGGTAATAGAATTTGAAAACCTGTCGACACAAAATACGGATCTGACGGATTAACCTTGATCTATAAACTGATCATAACAAGACTCTAGTCACGAGCGAAACGTCAAGCACAAACACGAAATAAACTTAAAATAACCTCAAAATACTTCACAACACTATAACAAGGCTCTGCGGAAGGCTTTGCATCATTTTTTCTCTACATTTTTCAGTGCCATTGTAAGACCACGTTCTTTCCCAAAACTGCTCATAAGAGTTAAGATGAAATACTTTGTTGGAGTTATCCTGTTCGCTTACTTTATCGCAACACTTGCCAACTCTACGGTTAAACCGACGAAGGAAGTTCACTGCAATGTGAATAATAACTACAACAGCTTTTACGCCGGACCAAACTGCAAGAAAATCGAGCAACAACTGGAGGAAATACGACAAGAAATCAGGGCATTGAGAGAAAATAAAACTACTGGGTCCGGTAACGGAAAAGGTTTGTAACAACAACTTAATTTGATTTAATTTGATCGAATTTGTACTGTAGATGAGCAAACTAAGTGGATCCTCATCGATACTTCACTAAAATACCGTCAAAACACCTCGCAAAATGTCGCGGAAATACCATTCTTGTTTTATGAGTTCTTTATAAGTTATAAGACAATTTCGTCAAAAAATTATTGAAGGCATTCCCGAAGAATATAAGGCCTATAAAAACAAAATAATAATTATTGGATCGTCATTTTGTTTTCAGTTTACAAGAACTGCGCTGAAGTTTACAAGTACGGTGACAAGATCAGTGGTGTGTATAAAATTAATCCTGATGGTTTGGGCGAATTTGAAGTGTTCTGTGATCAGAAAACTGCCGGTGGAGGTTGGACTGTTTCAGAAGAGGCGAGATGGCTCTGTTGATTTTTTCCGCGTTTGGGATGATTACAAACGCGGTTTTGGCAATCTGAACGGTGAGTTCTGGCTCGGTTTGGATAAGATACATCGGCTGACTGTAAGCGGTGATTATAAACTTCGTGTTAACTTGGAAGACATTCATGGAAAAACTGCATTTGCCGAGTACAGCTCCTTTTCTGTCACAAGCGAGAGAGCGAAATATCAACTGAATTTGGGAAGTTATTCAGGTAAGTTTATACACTAGACTGAAAAAGAATCAGTCGGCGAAAAATGTTGCAAATTGGAAAATACAATAACAGAAGGAAAAAAGAAAGAAAGAAAATAAGATTTTTTTTCTTGCCCAATTGATCGCGATTGAACTGTGAAAGTTGTTAAATGATTAATTTTGACAACAACAGTTGACCTATATTTGTAATGTCATATTAGATTATATCAAAAAGTTAAAGGTGGCTCCCTAGAGTAAATTGGCCGTGCGCAGCCTCAGCACTAGTATGGCGCGAGCTTTGAAATCCGCGCGACCTCCACGCAGAAAACAAAACAAACATGGCCTCTCAGTTTCAAAGTATTCACCCCCAAAAACTTTTTTAGCTCTCTGTTGTAGGTCAAACATTTATGAGAGGAGACAATGTTAAATTACACCGGTTACAAGTCACTATCGATCTCCATAAGATTAAATTGTATGTAAAAACGAAGCAGAAATTTTCCACAGACATCAATTCTTTCGCTTCAAAAGTAGACAAACGTAAAATAGTCGAAGTAAATGGTGAATGGGAACTTAACAAAGAAAAAGAGAAATAAGTACACTAACCCTAAAGGAAGCAATGTTACCCTTTCTGGCCTTTGGTTCACGGACAGTGGAAAGATCTGAGAGATTGAGCCAAGTCCCGAACAACCACTGAAGAATGTCTTCACCGGCGGCGCTCCTCGGTCACTTCATTTCTCTTACATTTGATTTGATTAACAAAATTCTAGAAGTGGCTTCATGAAGGCAAGATTACAGCAAGTGTAAGTTTTTTTTTGTTTTGCCGACTCTATCACATTGTTTAAAAAACTTATCAGAAGAAAGGTTTCCTACTCTACTTGAATCCTGATCGAAGGAACCTTCCCATCGACGAACCAACATCCTTGTCCTCTTTCCTTTTCAAAAGCTCTTTAACGCACATGGTGCACTAGAAAATGTTGTTGCACAATGAAAAAATAATTCTTGAGCCACAGATTGACCGTTGAAGAAAGCAATAGTAGGTTATCAGTCGAGAACTACGGTCTTGTACGTGCAGCTGAGGACGTGATGTACTTTTTTTTAGATCGGCGCCATCTTTTACAGCAGGCTTTTACAGAAAAACTTCGCCGTCGAAATTATCCCTAAAGGAGACAAGGTTGAGAAAGTATCCGGAAGTGGGCTGGCATTTGATAGCCTGCGCGAAGACGAAATTAAACTCTGGTTAACTCCGTCTGCGAAACAGCGCCGAAATCCTTGTTCTGGACTTCCAGCTGTGTACCCAGATTTGAGTACGCACCACGATTGGCCAGTTAAAAAAGACCTTTGTTTTGTTTGTCGCAAGACTGATAATAGCCAAACAGGTTGAAGGGAAATTCGAAACGCACTTCCGGTAATTCGTTGAGTCGGTTGGGGGTCCAGAACAAGGATCTCTGCGCTGCTTCGCAGACGGTACTAATCAGAGTTTAGTTATCGTCTGCACGCAGGCTAGCATTTGAAGATCTGCAAGCAGTCGGTACAGCAGATTAGGAAATGAAGGCCTTATCGCGATTCTTGCAAAACCGCCGTCTTCATCTCCGATGATTGCTATCCGCACGAGTAGTGACCACCACGGCTCGAATTTTGGCTACAGTGGTTAAGTATTTCGAAGAAAACATCCAGTGTTTGGTATAAAACTGAATCCGCTATCTCTCCTTTTTCAACAGCCGAGATAACTTTCGTACTTTTCGAAGAAATCACGTTTTCAGCTATGTGCGTTATGCGCATGCGAGCGTGATGGCTCGCGCGCGTATTTTGCTCATACGACCTCGAACCACGCGTGTTTTTCGCATTTTTGTGACGTCAGCGCAGTTAATTAACCGTGAATTTCTCGCGTTTCCTTCGGTAAATTTTTTTAAAAATCACCTCATTTCTTAACAGTTGCAGTACCTTTGTACTGTCCTTTTCTTGTTAAAATCTGTAAGAGCCAAACTCCTCTATTAAGAAAAGTTAGAAATTTCAAAATAATGGCGAAACCGTCTTAACGACCCCATGTTTTTAGTCTCGCTTCCTTGAGCAGAGCGAGACTCTTAAAATGCAGTCGTTTTTTTTTTTCGTCGGACCTAGTTTGTAGGCCCCGCGTTCTTTGCGAAGACCGTGGAAACTGGGGATAAGAATCGTGACGACTTTCATTGTATGGAAATGAGTCTCTTGATGAGAATGCAGTTTATTTCGGCGATGACTGAAATGACGCATGTAAGTTTGGCAATGACGTAATTTTCCTCGAATGGAGGCCCTTGATTTTCGTGTAATTATGCACGACATGCAGGCACATCCCCAAGCAGGATGAGAAAATATTATAGCTGGGAAATCCTCAGGATTTTGTGGCTTTTTAAGGCGTTACGTTTCTCAGAATATTGTCGCAATTACCGGAAATGTACGGTTAAATAGTTTCACTTTGATTTATGTATTTAATTGATAGATTTTCGCAGTTGTTACGATGTGAAGTCGTGTTGCACTTCATGAATACTTGAGATATGAAGTATCCACTGTCACGTAATTTTTACGTGCGCACGTGCGTAAAATTTGCGTCCGCAAATAAAATAAAGGCAATGCATGAAAGGCTGCACATACAATTATGTAAGCGTAAGAGTAGAAACTCGCTTAATTTGACGTTTAATCTCAATACTTTATGTCTTACCTCTATTTGATTTACGTGATTAAAATTTACGTGCGTTAACATGCGGAGCCAAAAACGCATCTGTGGAAATCCACCCTAACGTGTCATGGATGTGTTTATACGAGTAGCTTTGAACTTGACTAACCGCACACTCTACTTGCAGCACTTCATGTCCATAGTTAATAGAAATCCCATATCGAGCCTTTCCGGAACGGGTTGGTCCAAGAATTCTATGGCTTGAAAGCGTTGATTATTTTGGAACAACTGATCACTTCAGTGGTCGAAAAAAAAGAATAATCTTAATGAGCAAAACTTCAAGGTTTACTGGAAAATCAGGATCGAGAAATCGGGGATCAAGGATCGGTTAAAAAGAACTTGAAAATAAAATAAATAAATAAATCGTGGATCAGTGATGACGTGGGCCGCGGACTGTAGATAAATTTCACAGAACATAACCCCCTTCGCTGTACTGAATGCTAAATTCAAGTAAACTAATCCGAGTCTGTTTGAGTCAGTGATTGTTTTGACGAGAAAGTGAAATTTTCCGGGAAAATGAAACGCTTTTTCCTGGTGATACTGTAATACAAGAAAAAACGTTTCAACAGTTTTTAATTTTTAAGTGTACATTTGCTTTCAGTACTCCTTATTTTTCTTGTAATTGTTGTATGCACGACCCCACCAGCAATGCTGATCTTTTTATCGTGCCATAAACTAAGGTTCTTACCCACCCACCCACCCACCTACCTACCTATCTATCTATCTATCTATCTATCTATCTATCTATCTATCTATCTATCTATCGATCGATCGATCGATCGATCGATCGATCCATCTATCTATCTATCTATCTATCTATCTATCTATCTAAAATGCATGCTGTGTACAACTCTAAACATTGTACTCTGAGACTGTACGGAGATATTAACAGTAGATACAAAGCAGCTATGGAAAATGTCATTACTTTCATGCGATATATATATCTTATAAAACGGACAACAAATTCAACGGGAATACGCGTGAACTGAATTAACTGGGTGTTGTATAAGGTTCTGTTCAACTTACACTTTTTTCCTGTGCTGAACATATACTGTACCGAGCCGTATCTTAGTCCGGTACAAAGAGGCTATCTATATTTATACTGACAGAGTCATGGGCCCCTGATACCGATAAAAATCATCGTTCAATTTTTCGAGTGTAGAATCCCTGAAAGAGTACTCCTCAATGGAGCAATATCAATATGTAGAAGGTTTTCAAAGGTTTCACACCGGTTTGAGGCTAAGATGTGCAGCCTGTCTCTCCTTGCAATTTTTACTTTTTGAGTATATACATTATGACATACAACAATCGTTTTGTATTCCAAACGAAAAAGTAGTATAACGGCACCGGGGCCTTTGACAACAAAACTCATCTCCAAGCAAGCGAGACTCAACGCTACTAAGAGCGTTCTTGTTTCCACTTTAAAATGTTAAGCAATATCGTTAATATAAAGTGGCAAAGTTTAAAGACATTTTACGGAGGGAAATAAGAAATATTAAGAAAAAGTGATCAAGGATGCGATGCGATGCGATGTGGCCATGGCAACGGCCTTAATCCAGAAAATGAAACTTTATAAAGGAGCCTTTTTACATGGGTAAACTTAGCGGTGAATTTCGTGAACCAAATCGCAAAGATAAAGTAACTAGATTTCGTTCTGTAACGTATGCTACATTGCTAGGGTTATTAATAAATACTCTAGGGGGCCACCTTAAAAAGGATTGGCCCACGTCTTGAGAGTTCAGAAATTAGGGTATTTCACTGAATTCTCAGCAAGTACAAGATCTCCACAGGTTTCGTAACTTTACCAAATGTGATCTTTCATGTTCCTTTTAAGGAGGTCTTAAGACCCTTCGGAGGACTTTTTAATTTAATTTTGTTTAAAAAAAAAAAACAAGAAGTGTTTCTTCCAGTTTGGATTAATTTAACTGGACTGAGATTGTGTATGCAGAAGTGGAATTGACCGGTTGAAAAACTCTGCGAAAGAAAACCGCGATATCTAAGACCTATTATTCGCTTTTCCCCCCTTTTTGTAGGAACCGCTGGTGATGCGCTTGGTTATCATCGTGGTATGTCATTTTCCACCAAGGATCGTGATAATGACAAGTGGAGTAGCAACTGTGCCTTGGGTCGTAAAGGCGCCTGGTGGTACAAAAATTGTCACCACTCCAACCTGAATGGACAGTACCTCAACGGCAAGGACGACTGTAAAGGAATGCGCTGGCTCAATTGGCCGAAGGGTAGCTGCTACTCTGTCAAGAAAACTGAGATGAAGATACGTCCAAAAGATTTTTGAGATATTTCTGGCACTTTGTGCTAAGTAAAGCGTACATCTCTTGAGGTCTTGATATTCTAACAATAACTATTTTCAATGAAGTTAAAATCAAGTAATCTTCTGCCAGACAAATGTATTGAAAAACGCCATGCAGTTTAATGATTCTGAGTTACATTCGTTTTTAATTAACCAGTACACTGTAATAGAGGTGCTTCAATAAAAACATAAATCACTTGAAAAGTTGTATTTATCTAAACTGTTTGAAATGAAAAGCCGGATTGCATTTTAACCCAGCCAATGAATGCCTCTTTGCAGGACTTTGCTGTGGCACTGTTTTTTTTATGAGCTGTGTACAACTGATGTTTCTAAGTTTTGAGTCTGTGGCTGAAATCCTAAGGTATGGAACCTTTTCTCCGAAAATAGCTTCCTACGCAGGCGTTTTCAGGGGAGCTCGTATTTCGTCCCTCCCCAAAATATATATATATATACGAGCTCCCCTAAAAACGCCTGCATGGGAGGCTACTCCGAAAACTGCTACAAGGTTAAATATTTCTTCGGGGCTATCCTGTTCGCTAGCCCTTGACAGAAAAACCGATGAATGATGCTCATTCCGATGTAACTAACTACGCCAAGGGCTAGTCATACATGAGTACATAAAAATTGTTAGGCAGGGAGACCATTACAGCCTAACCAATTACAGTGGCTCCCTCGTTAATAAAAAAAATCGTTAAAAAAGGAAACAAAACAGAAGTTCAAATTGCTAGAAGCAGCAGGTCAGCGGGTACTGGAGAGTCCTCGCTATGTTGCACCTGGGACAGATTGTTCTCCAGGTTCTGATGTCGACAACGTCGTACAGGTCCAGAGCCCTATTGTAATATTGAAATAGTGAGAGATGTGACTTGATCGTAACTCAGTGGGCAGAACATTCCATGTGCGGCACGCGCGTATGAAATTATGAGCGTTGATAAGTAACAATTTTGAATTTTTGAAAGCAGACTCTGAATACTTTTCCTTGTAGTTTATGAACTGGAAAAAAAACGTAAAACTTAACAATAAAATTCTTTACTGACCGAAATAGAAATAAAAAATACCTTGCGCACTTTTGCTCAGTTTAATATTTTCAATCACTTGTAAAAATTAATGACTTCCTCGTTTGTCCTTAGAATTCTCCTTTTGTTCTCTATGGACCCAGGAGCCTATCTTCCATTACCCATCCGCTTTTCCCTCAATTGACGACAGGGGAGTGCTTTTCCGTCGGAAAAGGAGGTAGTAATTGAATTCATAATTCAATACTCGGTCATTTGTGATAGATTGTGTTAGTTGCCAGTTATCACGAGCCAGAGGAGAAAAAAGTCATTTGTTTTACTTAGAAGTTTGCTTATCAAGCATAGTCTTCGAAATCGTTCAGTTTGGCCCACGGAAATCTGTATCAAATTTTGCGAAGTCAAATAAAATGGCTGTTGCGGAAATCAAAACTTACAAAGAAAAAGCGCTTTAGTAAACTTTTACACACCAGTTTTTATGTAAAGATTGCTTCCACGAGTTGCCTTTCGGCATGTTTTTTGTGAGAGTAGCTTGGGATCATTACAAAAGAGGGTTTTGGCAATCTGAACGGTGAGTTCTGGCTCGGTTTGGACAAGATTCATCGGCTGACTGTAAGCAGTGGTTATAAACTTCGTATGGACTTGGAAGACATTCATGGAAAAACTGCATTTGCCGAGTACAGCTCCTTTTCTGTCACAAGCGAGAGAGCGAAATATCAACTGAGTTTGGGAAGTTCTTCAGGTTAGTTAACTTCCATCGACTAAAACAAGAATCAGTCGGCGAAAAAAAGACATGCTGCAAAACAACAAAAACAAAAATTAGAAAGAAAAAAATTATAAGGTATTGTACATACTTTATGGCAATTGATCGCAACTGGAAAGTTATTTTTCTAAACAACACCATTTAACCTTCTTTGCAATGTCATAATACTGAGATCATATCAAAAACGTCTTCAGAATATTAATTTTTTTTATCTTTTTTTTTGCTCTTTCATATCCAATACCAAAATAAAATGGCGTTCATTACAACCGTCTGCCGCCGATTGATTTCACTTGGATTGCGGTATAACTGAGCTATTAACTTTGTTGAGAGAGAATCCATCATAGGAGCTCAGTGGTTTCTGTAGATTTCGTTGCTGAAGCTCTGTTGACAAGAAAAACTGATATCTCGAAAGCCTCAAAGACGAAACAACAATCCTTTTCCTTACAATTCAAATTAAGGGAACAATACCCTTGAGATGGACTCGCATCAAAAGTCGGCTCACATAGAGTTCAGAAAAATAATGGTATTTTGAATTTGTGACATCTAAATTAACTCCTCCAATCTAATACACATGTATGCTGCAGACAAAATTGGAGTGAGTTAAGGAAAATGATGCAGCATTTGACTGGATTTTCAGCCTCAACGCAATCTCTACTAGTTATGGGACACCAGTTTTGTGATTTAGCTGAAGACATGACGCAGTGTAATTTTCCTTATTATTCAGCTTTAATTTCTAATTGTTCAGAAGTGTTTCGTCCGATCTGGGTAAATTAGCGTGGAAATTCAATATTGTTGCAGAAAGTCAAATTTACAGGATGCAAAACCTCTATGAAAAAATAACCGAACACCTATATTTCGCATTTTTTTTCTTTTTATAAGTACCGCTAGTGATTCCCTTGGTCCTCATCGTGGTATGTTATTTTCCATCAAGGATCGTGATAATGACAAATGACGTGGTGGCAAATGTGCCTTGAGTTATACAGGCGCCTGGTGGTACAACAGATGTCTCTACTCCAATCTGAATGGTCTGTACCTCAATGTTAAGGTCGATCCTAAAGGAGTGACCTGGTATTACTGGAAAAACAGCCACTATTCCTTCAAGAATTCCGAGATGAAGATACGTCCAAAAGATTTTTGAGATATTTCTGGCACTTAGTTGTACTTGTGTCAGGTGAAGCGTTTGTCTCCAACACAGACATTTGACATTACTAAAAGTTAAAATCAACTAACTTTACAGATAGAAAAATGCATGAAAAACACTAGTTTCATGCATTCTGAGTTACTGACGTGTACGTTTTTTTGTAATTAACCACACTATTCGCGCCAGTCCCTTGCAACGCGCGTATAAATAAGAGCTCCGCATCTGCCCAGTTCTCGTAAGAATCCATTCGCTCTGTTAACCGATTCTTGTTTTATTAAGATGGCCGACGAACCGGTCCCGCCCCGGCCAATGTTACACAAGCTCCAGTTCTGCTTCAAACAGGCCAATCGCCAGTACAGTGCCGATGACTGACTTTCCCTCGCCTGTCTTTCGCTGGCGCTATACCGCAGTTTGTTTACTGCCCTTCCCTTGGCTCCCGGAAGGTTTTTACACGTTAATGTTTTGCTTTTGTATTATCCAGTAGCGGTGTTATTAGTACTTTGCCTCGCTATCTGTAGTTTGTGCAGTGTTCTTCCCTCGGCCCCCCGTAAAGTTTTAGTGCTTTCCCTTCGGCTCCCGTAGTTTTTTGCACGCTTTTCGTTGTTAGTAATTCATGTTTTGCGTGTTTTGCCTTTTCACAAACACAGGGTTTGTGCAGTGCTTTTCCCTCGGCTCCCATAAAGTTTGTTGCACGCTTTTTTTCCGTGCTCCCCTCGAATTTGCACGCTTTATTTTTGCTTTGTCAGTATTCAGTTTTAGGCTTGTGTTCTGCGTTTCTCTCACTAATTTAATCTTCCTTCGATTCCCTTAAAGTTGGTTCATCACTTTTGTTGCATTTGTGCCTTATTTGGTCAATCTGTTGGACGTGTTTTATTTTACACTGTTTACAGTGGTGTTATTTCCTCGGCCCCCGTAGATCTTGAATGATAATGTTTTCCTTTGCATTTTTCTGTAATTTGGTACGCGTGTTTCGCCACGCGGCCTCCAGTTCTGCGGGTTTACTCCCTTGTCCCTTTGTTTTTGCTCCCTTGTGTTCCTAATTGTTTTTCTATTCTTTTAGTTTATGTGTGCTATTCGTTCCTCGCCTTTTCTGCCGTCATTTCATATGTTTTTTCTTCCTGCGCTTCCATGGTAGCCTGAAAGGGTGTCTAATGCCCTAGTCGGATTACTGACGCTCAGGCTGCCATCCCTTGGGTGGGTTTTTCTCGCGTCTTCTCTGCGCCTTAGGTTTCCTTTTTCCTTTGGACCTTTATCCCCAGTTTATTGCCTTGTTGCCGCTCAAGAGTTGGCGGCCTATTCGTGTTTTATCACGCAGTCCTTTTGGTATTCCCTGAAAGACCTCCTGGCCCAGCTCTCAGCAAGTATCAGAGTCTAGTTGATTCACTATACCCTGAGTTTATGAGTACTTTTGTTCCACCCCTTCACCGTCAGTGTTGGAGAACTGGGTTTTTGTATTCTTTGAGTTTTAGGAGCCGGTTTTGAGTTTTGGTAGTGTCTGGGTTATTTAGGACGTATCTAACGTTCAACTTTTTGGCGCGGTTTCATTTCTCCGTCTCTTATTCAGCGAGCATGAAAGGGACTGTCGCGAATAGTTTGCAATTCGCGCCAGTCCCTTGTACTGCGAGCATAAATAAGAGCACCGCATCTCATTTCTGCCCAGTTCGCGTAAGAATCCTTTGGCTGCTGGCAGCCGTGAATTGTTTGTCTCTCCCTTTCACGTATCGCACCTTACGCGGCGGCGCTTCTCTTTTCCCTCCCTCCTTCCCTTCCCTGTCCTTTCCACTTCCAACTCACTCAAGCGCGGTTCCATTTCTTCGTCTCTTATTCAGCGAGCCTGGAACGGACCGTCGCGAATAGTATGCTAATATATAGATTTAGCCAGGGCTAAAAGCGAAGCTCTCGATAATATTTATAGTTTATTTAAACAAAATATAAAATCGTGTAATGCTAAGCGGCGAAGGCAGCTACGTCGGAAAACGGTGGAAAACAACAATAGGTCTAATTAGCAAAAGCAACTTTTCCTGTGAAGCACACTTTCTTTGTACATTTCTTTGCCGTTTTTTTTGCACAAGTACAACGTGAAACTTCCAGAAACTTCTTAGTTACACGATTTATGGAGGAAATGTCGTACGTGTACCCGTTCACTTTTTTTCACTGCCGCTCGTTTTCACCTTACATTGGTGGCCGCTAGCATTTCTCATTTTGTCACCGCCGCTACAAAATTTTTACGTTGTTCTTCCAACAAAAATATGTCTCCTTTGTTTTTTATAATAATAATAATAATAATTTTATTTATATAGCGCTAAAATCCAATAATTGTCCAAAGCGCTACCTAATTGCAAAATAAAATATAAAAAATATAAAATATAAAAATATCTACAATATACAATATAATTCAAATATAGCCTAAGTTATCTACTATATAAATCAAAAACATCTCAAAACAAAAGGAATCTCATAACCTATATGCTAACTTAAATAAAAAAGTTTTAAGGGATTGCTTAAAAGTTGCCACTGAAGCACATTTCCTAATCTCTAGAGGTAAATCGTTCCACAATTTAGGTCCTGCAATAGAGAAAGCTCTGTCTCCATATGTTTTCAATCTGCTTCTTGGAACCACTAAGTATTCTTTACATGAAGAACGCAATGACCTAGAGTATGTTTTAAAATTCAAAAGGTCAGAAATATAAGAAGGTGCAAGGCCATGAAGGGCCTTGTATACCAATAAAAGGACTTTAAAAGTTATTCTAAACTCAACTGGTAACCAGTGAAGATTAATTAAAATAGGAGTTATATGAACATGCCTCGGTGTCAATGTGACAACACGAGCTGCAGCATTCTGAACTGCCTGTAGTCTCGCTAACAGATACTTAGGAAGGCCATGTAATAAGGAATTACAGTGATCAAGTTTCGAACTGATAAATGCATGGACTAAGATTTTACATGTATCTTGGCTTAAGTACTTGCGGATTTTAGCAAGATTTCTCAAATGATAGAATGATGATTTACAAATGTTCTTAATGTGCTCCTCAAAACTAAATATGCTATCAAACTGAACCCCTAAATTACGAACAGAGTCACGAGGTGCAATGCACTCAGAACCAACAGTAATGTGACCGATGTCAGGCATAGGATGGAATCTAGAACTGATGACTACAAGGTCCGTTTTGTCTTGGTTTAGTTTAAGATAGTTTCTTATCATCCATTCATCAATGTCCCTCACACAGCATTCCACTCTCAACTTCACTTGTTGGATGTCATTCAAGCTGGTAGATTTAAAGGTAATATATAATTGGGTGTCGTCAGCATATAGATGGTATGATAGTCCATGATCATTTATTATGTCCGCAATAGGTGATGTGTATAACAAATACAACAAAGGGCCCAGAACTGATCCCTGAGGGACACCACACTTCAATTCACGTTGTGAAGAATGACTATTCCCAACTTTAACAAACAGCTTTTTATCTCTCTTTATCGCCCTTTTTCTCGTTTGAGCTTCGCTGGCCTGCCGCCCACTTTCTTATTTCTCTGTCTTTCACTTGCTCTATATTCCAAATTTGTGGACAAGACAATTTATCTAAGCTTAATACTTTAGACAACACGGATACAGAATCAATTTCTGCTTTCCGTTTTCGTCTTTATTGACTGTTTTGTTGTCTCTGCTTTACAAGACGCCGGTGGCTATGCGACTTCCCGCCAAAATATCCTCGAGTTGCATTTGGGTTGCCATACCTGTTGATTGAGTTATTTTACATTGCTATGCCTGTGGTGCGGACGGACGGTCTCTCGGTGTACGGTCACGTGATTACCAAATTTTCTCGGATGGGTACATTACTTCATTTTCTTACCCATGGTGCTCCGCTGGCTCGCTTCGCGCGCGAGAGCTCCGCTAAAAAAGGAGCGCTTCAATAAAATATGGATCACTTGATTGCATTGACTGAATTGCTTAAATATTTTTGCTGAATACTATATATTATAGCAACGAGCAGATGTATATTGAAGGTCTTTCCTTTTGGGGTCTGGAACGAATCTATTGAAAACAGGAAACAGTAAAACGCTCTCAGCGAGCGACAAGTGGACGCGGAGGGCGGGGAGGGTCAGTGTTGTTGGTAGGAGACCCAACAAAAATGACTACATTTGGTTATGAGTCGCTACAAATATAACAGGACCCCCGGAGTATTCAGGATAAATTTTCATCTTGCCAAAGAGCACCGATGGGAATTGAAAATGGGAAATTTTAAATCTCGCCACAGAATTTGTTTAATACATAGTAAGATTGATCTTGAAAGCAACGCAAACTCTTTATACTTGTGCTTGTCATGTACTTGTATCTTTTGAACTGCATAAAAACGTCAATCGAATGAGTAGAATAATTTACGTGATCTTTTTGCTGAACATATGAATTATTTACTTGCAGCCTAGTCCCTAGGCCGTCCTCTTTTGCCCCGTTGTCTGACGTCACAGCTCACGGCGGAGTCCAAGATTGACCGAGCCGAAACTAGGCGGATTTGCTTGCGAACAAAGTATTTATGTCACTTGTTTATGTCATTAATAATATATATTTAATGCAATTCATGTACGGTAATACGCATGTACCCTAAAAGTTACATGTGTGGCGATATAACGGGAATTATAATGAAAGAAGATCATCGTAGTTATAGACTCAACTTTTGCAGTTTCGAAAAGAAAGCCCGAAAAGTTCAGATATATGATTTTCATATTGATTCATAACTTCGATAGAATGGGATACATCTGGCGATCACACCTCTTCTAATCTTCTAATAAAGGCATGAATTACGTAAACTAGCAAACAAGAAACATCAAGACCCTTTGAATGCTACCATACGTGAGCAATACCGTGGTACTCTGGCCCAATACAAGAAATTACTTAATTCTACAAAAAAGGATTTTCACAATGCCAAGATTTCTGAGCTAGAAAAAACTGCAGACAATTCAGACGCGAAAACGTTCTGGCAATGCCTCAAATCGATGAACGACACTAGAAAAGGAAAGGATGTTCAATCAATCTCGGAAGAAAATTGTCTACAATATTTCCACAATCTTCGTTCAAATGAACCTCTTAACCCAGCGAAGCAAAACATTTAATTGCAATGAGTAACGACAAAATGAATGTCATGGTCAGCAATCTCGTCCTTTAGATTTCATGATAACTGAAAGAGAAACTCGTAAAGCTGCGGAAAAGTTAAAGAATAATAAATCACCATTTTCGGATAAATAAAATGATAAAAGCTAGTATCGATACACTGATCCCTGTACGTGAAAAATTATTTAATTCAATTCTTAACCAAGGGACCATGCCACAGACTTGGTGTGGTGGTCTTATTACTCCCATCTATAAATCGGGCGGACGAAGCGATCCGGCAAAAAAAATACCGGTGTATCTGTGTCTCCAGCTGCTTGGGAAAACTATTTTGTTCTATCTTAAGCCAACGACTTCTCGAGTATATTTTTTCTTTGAATATACTCCACAAATCTCAAATTGGCTTTTTACCGAATAACCGCACAGCAGAGCACGTCTTCACTCTTCGAACCTTGATAGATAAGTACGTTCATAATCACAACGAAAAGATCTATGCTTGTTTTGTAGATTTCAAAAAAAGCTTGGACTCGGTCTGGCATGATGTACTCTTGATAAGCTGCTGCAACTTGATGTCGGTGGTTCTTTTTATAACTTAATTAAAAGCTTATCACAACTCTTAATGCTCAATTGAAATTGCTCAAACACCGGGACCACACCGGGACCGATTTGCTGCGTTTTTGACTGCCACATGCAACAAAACGTTCGAAAACCGAAAACGCGAGAGTGGCAGTTGAGACGTAAGTTGAACCCTACTCGTCGAGATGCTACAAACACCCGCGCCTGCGATATTTCTGGTCATCGTTTTCGTTTTGATGGATGGTAGGAACGTCATGTGTGGGGAATTATAATGTACCGAATATTATAATACGCAAACATACACACACATAATGTAACTTTAGGAACCTTACACAGCTTTACACAGCTTTACTACACAAAACTACAAACTATCCGGCCTGATGGACCTTGTTTCATTTTTGACCGTTTTCGACCGTCCACACTAAAATGATATGTATCCGTTTTTGTTTTGATCTACTCAGTTCCAAAGCGAGTTAAAATCGATCCGTTTTTAATGAAACTCCTCAGCTTCGTATAGGTGTGGAAAGACAATAAATGCTGTGTTCTTATCGCGTGGTGGAATTTGTTCATTTCATAAGCAAATTTAATCTGAAAGGAAACTCTTGATACCGTTGCGCTTGTCACATTCTTGTATTTCCTTAAATGAAAAACCGTCAAACTAAACAATAGAATTATTTACTGAACACAAAATAAGAATAAAGGATACCAGCTTGTATTTGACCTTTGTATAATCACTCGTACTATAACTTCCTTTGTCCTTAGAATTCTCCTTTGTTTTTGTTTTTTTTTTCATGAATCCAGCTGCCCGTCTCCTTTACCCATCGACTTTCGCGTTTTGGAAAAGGAGCTAGTAAATCAATATTGTATTTTAATAGTCGGTTTTCCTGGGATAAAACGTCAATGTGTAATTCGCCGATTATCACCGACCACAGAAGACCCACACAAAAAAAACACTTAGCTATAAAGTCATGCTGTTAAGTTTAGAAGTTACTTCAAGCATATTCTTCGGAGTGCTTTCATTAGACCTACAGTAACTACACAGTCGCATTTATTTTTTTAAATACAATGATAGATAATTTGTCTCATTTGACTAGAACGCTGTCGGAGAGAATCGCGTTTGCAGAGTTGTTATAGTCTCTTTTACACTTTCGTTCTTTTGTAAACATTTTCTGCACGAGTTCCTGGACTAGACTGGACTGGACCTTTTTTTTAGGGGGAAATTTTTTTTTTTTTTTTTTTTCGGGGGAGGGGGGGCGTTGTATTATTTTTTCTAGTCTGCGTTTTCAACCTTTTCCCAACAGGCTATATTTTTTCATTTGGGGCAGGGGGGGGAAGGAGGGTAGTATTATATAGACTTTACTCTTCTTTGTTGTTTGTTGGGTTTGTTTTATTTCTGTCATTTTTAGTCTGGGTGGGGGGCTTAGATTGGTCGCTCAGTTTGACTCACGGCCGTCACGTTTCACTTGAAAGTTGAAGAAAATAGCAGAAGTGGATGTTACGTAATAACAAAAACATGACCTGTTTCTTGTAGTCGATCTTTTTGTCGAGGGTCGAAGGTAACATTTTTTTCTTAAAAGCAAAAAACCTTTTCCTTCCCTGTGAAGGTAGACAGGTCTTGCCTAAAAAATATCATAGAACTTAGGATTATATTTCAGTCACGTCTGCCTCTTCTCTGCCTTGCATGGCTATTCAGTGGGGTAGCTTGAATATGCATATTTCACCGATTCTTGTTTTTTAAGCTATCCTACTGTACGCGACCGAATTGTCCTGCTTTCAATGAAGTAACGCACCCAAAAAAATATCGAGATAATTTTTAGGGTATTTCCGCCGACGTAATATCCACTCCTGCGGGTATTTCTGTGGGAAAAGGTCATCCTAAAGTTTCGTGAATCTTGAAAGTATCCCAAGGAAGCATAGCTGGTGTATAGCATACTGTGTGGATCACGGCGTTACAATGAGATCTTCATTCGATATACATTTATTCTGGTCAAAGCTACTCGAGGTTTTGCATTTTTCTCCGCGTTCCACTCGAGCTAGCCTGCGAATACAGTCGTTTCTAATAGCTCACCGCCACTCGGTAGCGAAGAGTCCCAGCGGAAGGGAGCATTAAAAGGCCGTTGTATTAACAGGCTACACAGGAATGTTTGAGGCCGACTGAAGATTGCATTCATCCCCCTATAAGTATCCACTTCACCCTTCCCAGCACGGGTTATTCCGCCAGTGACTGCAAACCTTACTTTATCCTGTAGCAGTAGGTTAGCGAGACCGGACGAAGCAAGATTTTAAAACATGAGGTATTCCAACAGTTGGTAAACTAATATTAAAGTATGTTCAAGCAAAATGAAAAGAGGAACTTGGACGAACGCGGCGCCAACAAGTGCCGATGATTCAGCATCCTGCTCATAAACTGACAGAAATAGTTTACCGGGTTAGATTCTTCAATGTAAAACCTAAACCTAAGATTTTACTCTTCAGAGTTCTGTTTCACAAAACATCGCTAATGCAAAGGTATGCAAGTATACATTATGATGCGTGAATAAATATTTATTGTTCGGTCACACGATGTTCTATGCAAATGTTAAGTAATTTTATTGGTAATAATAGATGACACAGCACCTACTAAAAATACACAGACGAGAAAAATCTTGTCTAAAAATTAGAACCTATACCAAGGCTCTGCGGAAGGCTTTGCATCATTTTTTCTCTAAATTTTTCAATGCCATTTGAAACTGCTCATAAGAGTAAGATGAAATATTTTGTTGGAGCTATCCTTTTTGCTTACTTTATCGCAACACTTGCCAACTCTACAGTTAAACCGACGAAGGAAGCTCACTGCAATGTGAATAATAACTACAACAGCTTCTACGCCGGACCAAACTGCAAGAAAATCGAGCAACAACTGGAGGAAATACGACAAGAAATCAGGGCATTGAGAGAAAATAAAACTAATGGGTCTGACAACGGAAAAGGTTTGTAACAACAACTTAATATGTACTAGAAATGAGAAAAGTGGATCCGTATTGTCATCAATGTCTCTCTAAAATACCATCAAAACCGCTTGCAAAATGTCGCTGAAATATTACAAGTATTCTTATTTTATCTCTTATTTTATAAGTTCTTCATAAGACTATTTTCTCAACAAATTATTTATGTCTACCTTGAAGAATAACGCCTATGAAAAAAAACGAAAACACAACAAAAAAATAATTATTCATTCAGATGGTCATTTTGTTTTCAGTTTACAAGAATTGCGCTGAAGTCTACAAGTCCGGTGACAAGATCAGTGGAGTGTATAAAATCAATCCTGATGGTCTGGGCGAATTTGAAGTGTTCTGTGATCACAAAACGGCCGGTGGAGGTTGGACGGTGTTTCAGAAGAGGCGAGATGGCTCCGTTGATTTCTTCCGCGCTTGGGATAATTACAAACGCGGCTTTGGTAATCTGAACGGTGAGTTCTGGCTCGGTTTGGACGAGATACATCGTCTGACTGTAAGCGGTGGTTATAAACTGCGTATCGACTTGGAAGACATTCATGGAAAAACTGCATTTGCCGAGTACAGCTCCTTTTCTGTGACAAGCGAGAGAGCGAAATATCAACTGAGTTTGGGAAGTTATTCAGGTTAGTTAACTTCCATCGACTAAAACAAGAATCAGTCGGCAAAAAAATTCTGCAAAACAACAAAAATAAGAGTTGCAAATGAAAAATATTATAAGCCATTTGTAGATTATTATACTCAATCGCAATTGATCGCAACTGTTGTATATAACGATCAATCGATATATTTCAGTGAAATATATCGATATAACGATCAATCGATATATTTCAGTGAAATATATCGATTGATTTATATATAAACAGCAATTAACCTTCTTTGCAATAATACTGAGATCACATCAAAAACGTGTATAATTTTAATATTAATTTTTTGTTTCTTTCTTTTCTTTCTTTATCTTTATTTTTTTTTTTGCTGTTTCATATCCAATACCAAAATATAATGGCGTTCATTACAACTGTCTGCCACCGATCGATTTTGCTTGGATTGCGGTGTAAGCTTGGTCCTATGAACGCTGCTGAGAGACAGTCCATCATAGGAGCTCATGATCAGTAGTTTCTGCAGACTTCATCGCGGAGGTTCTGTAAACAGCTATTACTTATATCTCCAAAGCTTCAAAGTCTAAAAAACTAATTTTCCTTACAATACAAATTAAATGAGGGGAACTCGCATAAAAAGTCGGCTCACATAGAGTTGCCAAAATTTGTCATCAAAGTCCTTTGAAAACATTTATGTATGCTGCAGAGAAAATTGAAGTGTGCTATTAAAAGGACACTGTTTAACGTAATGTTTTAGAGTCTTACTGGATTTTCAGCCGCAACGCAATCTCTACCAGTGATACCAGTTTTGTGATTTAGCTTAAGACACATGACTCTGTAATGTTCCTTATTAGTCAATTTTTATTTCTAATTGTTCAGAAGTGTTTCGTCTGATCTACGAAAATTAACGTGGAAATTATTGTTGCAGGAAGTCAAATTTACAGGATGCAAAAACTCTACGAAAAACTAACCGAACACCTATATTTCGCATTTTTTTCTTTTGATAGGTACCGCTGGTGATTCCCTTAGTTATCATCGTGGTATGCCATTTTCCACCAAGGATCGTGATAATGACAAGTACAGCGGAAACTGTGCCTTGAATTATAAAGGCGCCTGGTGGTACAACAGTTGTCACTACTCCAATCTGAATGGTCTGTACCTCAATGGTAAAAACGACCCTAAAGGAATGGACTGGCGCCTTTGGAAAAACACTTATTACTCAGTCAAGAGGTCTGAGATGAAGATACGTCCAAAAGATTTTTGAGACATTTCTGGCCCTTTGTGTCAAGTGAAGCTTACGTCTCTGGAGGTCTTAACATTTTAACAATAGACATTTGGCATTAAAAAAAGTTAAAATCAAGTCACCTTACTGTTAGAAAACTGCCATGGAAAAACACTAGTTTCATGCTTTCTGAGTAACTGTACTTCGATGTAGTTTGTAATAACCACACTGTAAAAGAGGCGCTTCAATAAAACATGGATTACCTGACTGTATTTGTTTATTTGAATTGCTTATTTTTTGTTTTTATGACCTCTTAGCTGAATACTTTATTATAGCAACGAGCAGATGTACATTGAAGCACCTTCCTTTAGGGGCCTGGAACAAATCTATTAAAAGCGGGAAACAGTAAAACGCTCTCGGGGAACGACAAGTGGACGCGGCGGGCGGGGAGGGTCAATGTAGTTGGTATTGAGAGACCCCACAAAAATATAACAGGACTCCAATAAGTATTTTCGGATAAATTTTATTTTTACCATAGAGCACGATGGGAATTGTAACTGGGAATTGAAAATGCTGTTTTCTGAAATCTCGTTACAGAGTTTGTTCAATTCATAGTAAAATTTATTCTGAAAGCAAACTCTTAATACTTGTGTATGTCATGTACTTTTATTTCTTGAACTGACCAAAAAATAACGTCAAACAAATGAATATATTTTACCTGATCTTTCTTCTGAATACATAGAGGATATTACACGGTGGCGCGAAGATATGAATTTCATTTTCGAGTGGTAAAATATTGTTTTTGCCACGAGAAAATAAAATTCATATCTTCAAGCCGCCGTGTAATGTTCTTTTTAATATATAGACAAAAAGACATCGATAAAATAATAGATTTTTATTCGCTAAAAAGTAATTGTGACAGCTCAGATTTACAGTACAGCAATATAAGACATTGGTTACAATAATCTTGGGAAGTAACACTGAGCTGAATAGGGCTCTACAATGACAAAATATAAGCAAAACTTTGAAAAATGTGTAAGTAAAATTCAAAGACCTAAGAAGTCTACAAATTTCGAAGGAAAATTACCGAAATTACGTTATCGATAAACTCACGTGTGAGATTATGGAAAATAAACCACTCGGGTCCCGGATGTAGTTTTTATGAATTTTACGAGTGGTATATTTACCAGTAAAACACTCGTGTCTATGTAATAAAACTCGTTTAATGTAAGGTAGAGAGGAAAGATTTTTAAATATTGCAGTAATTTAACAATTAATGAATGAGGCTGAGTATCTTATGAAGAATTATGGAGATGTCGGAGGGTGTTATCCGCCTCGGCCAACGGCCTCGACGGATAACACCCTCCGAGATCTCCATAATTCTTCATATGATACGAGCCGAATTCAATAATTGTTTTATTATTCATTCAAAATAATTCCTAGTTTAAAAACATGGTTAAAACATGCTTACGGTACCTCCATCGATCCATCGATGTTAAGTTCATCTGCTATAATGCACGTTTAGGGTTGTCCAGCTCAGCAAATATTCTCCAAATAGCAGCTGTCGCCCTTTGAGTTGTCTTCTTGCTGTTCTTGCCATGTTTTTAGCTATTTTTCGCCTAGTTTTTACTCTTGAAACGAGTGAAATGTCCGCAATTTTTCAAGTTCACAACCCAAACAAATCAACCTCGTCCCCAGGTCTTTGCGGTTAACGATGCATCAACCTGCAAGAAAGCTGCATTTTTGACGTCATTTCCTCGCTAAACACAAAATTCTTCCAAATGTGGTCATCAAGTAACTGGTTATGGTGAATTAAACGTGTGCTTTTAGCCAAGCAGAATTGGAGGAAATATTTTGAATAAATACTACGGAGTAGTAATGTACATTGAAGCTCCTGCCTTCTGGGGTCAGGAACGAATCTATTTATAAAGGGAAATAGTAAAGGTTAAGTGTTCCCCGATTACCTCCAAGGGCAACGAAATTAGGGGGACCCGACGATCCTTTCCTCCCATCCCCCTAGAATGCCCCCAGGGAATGGGCCAATGACAAGACATACGGGGTGACAATTAGATATTGTGACATGTAGTACGTGACATGTCCTGTCTGATTTGATTTCTCTTCTATGGAGTGACACTTAGGGAACCGTTTCTTCCAAATTGATTACGTTAGTGGCCATTAATATAGTTAATCCCAAGGATTTAGTGGCAATGTTCCTACAGGAGTTGAATTATGTGTATCATTAATTGAGGATGTTTTCTTTTCTTTAAGGAGAGCGAAAAACGTCGTGACGTTTTTACCGAAGACAAATGTTAATCCCGGTGAAATGGAACAATTTTCAATTATTACAGTGAGGAGTGTCAATCTTAATTGGTGCTCCAACCTATGGGGTTCTGGAACGGATGCAATTAAAAACTGAAAATAATAAGACGTTCCTGGTGAATGTCAAGTGGGCGGGGAGGGTAAATGTGCTTCTATACCCAAAGGGACCCCACAATAAAAAAAACAGGACCCCTGTGAGAATTTTTGGACACATTTTGCTTTATTATAGAGCGCCATGGGCATTTAAACTGAAATCCTTCGACATTGAATGCTGTGTTTTTAACTTTCGTTATAGAATTCGTCAATTCCTTGTGAAATTTATGCTGAAAGCAAACTCTGAATACTTGTGCTTGTAGTTTATGAACTGGAAAAAAAACCCTAAAACTTAACAATAGAATTATTTACTGACCGGAATAGAAATTAAAAAATACATTGCGCACTTTTCCTCTGTTTAATATTTTTAATCACTCGTAAAAAATAGTAACTTCCTGGTTTGTCCTAATTAGAATTCTCCTTTTGTCTTCTATGCCGACGCAGGAGCCGCTCTTCCATTACCCATCCACTTCCCCCTGAATTGACGACACGGGAGTGCTTTTCCGTCGGAAAAGGGGCTTGTAATTGAATTCATAATTTAATACTCGGTTGTCTTGTGACAGATTGTGTTACTTGCCAGTTATCACGAACCAG